AACGCGGCGGCTGTCGAGGTGCCCGAGGATGCTCTTCGGTACCCGGCTGCTGCTCGTCCTTCCCCTCCCCGGCTCCGGCCAGAGACTCTTAAACTCACACCGGGCATTAAAAACCGCGGCCGTACCGCCCCACACGTGAAAGCCGGGTGGGGAAACTCCGGCCAGCGAGGAGGAGGACGGTGACTGGCCATGGGGCTCATCCCGCGGGAGGGTGGGTTGTGGTTTGTGGTGGTCCCCTGAGGGGTGAGGGGGTCGATTCCCCCCTGCCCTGGTACTGCCGTGGGGCTGCCAGGATCCGGCGCTCGCCCACCGCGGCGCTGCGAGCATCGTTCATCCTCATCGCCGCTGCTGGGCGGGCGAAGTTGGGCTGTCTGCCTTAGGGATCGGGTTTGATTTGGGGGGGGGGTGAAGGAAGTTAGATGATTTTTTTTATTATGATATTGATGATGATGACAATTTCTTGGTGCGATTCTGCTCGTGCTGATCCCGAGGAAGGTTTTTTTTCCCGGACAGCATCACTCGTACGCACTGCGGCATTCTCCCGGAGAGGCTCTCGCCGGCCCCCGGGAGCGAGAACTCCTCTCTCCCCTGGTTTTCTTCAAGCCTGGCTACTGTAGCTGCCCCTTTCGTTGCCATTTCATTCATAGTCGGCGGGGAAATACCCCTCCTGGAAGTGGCGTGGGGGTGGAAGAACCTGTCTTTGGATACACAACCTCAAATAAAGAGATGATTTATTTTACAGACATCCCGTCTCTGGCTTCCTCTGAGCTCCCACCCCTCCTCTGATTGAATTTCCCTCCCTCTTCTTGCCCTGGAAACTCCCTTTTGCAGCTCAAAAGTGGATTTAAAGCCACTTTTGCGATGAGGCGTCAAATTTGGGGTGGTGCAAATTTGAGGTGGGGTGTCCTTGTGCCGGGGCAGGGGCTTTGCTGCTGTCCCTCACGGTGTTCCCTTCTGCGCTGATAAAGCAAATAAGTGATTATTTGGAGACCATTTTACCCATGAAATCTCGTGTTTTCCTTGGAGATAAGAGCAGAAATGCAGCAGGTGTGTTCTTTCTGTATTTTTTTTTTTATTATTTGAATGGGTTGAACCCGTACTCACCATTGTCACAAATGCTGTTTTCCAGCGACTGCTTCATGAGTGGAGCAAAAACCTTCCTGTGGCAGGTTCACCCCCCAGAACGACCTCCACTTCTTTTTAAAAGGGGGAAAAATTAAAAGTGTTTTGGCTGCAAACCAGGTTTTTTTTAGAAAACAGGTTGGTGTTTCATTTAATCTCAAAATCCCCCGTGTAGGTCTCGTCCAGTCCCCACTCTGGTGCCATCTGTCCCAGGTGGGCTGGATTTTTTTGGAGGGGGTGAAGGTCTTGCCCTGCGTTTGCCTCAATTTCCCCGTACCGGGAGTGATGCAGGGAGTCATAGACTCATAGACTGGTTTGGGCTGGGAGGGACCTTGAAGATCATCCAGTGCCACCCCCTGCCCCGGGCAGGGCCACCTCCCCCCAGCCCAGGTTGCTCCAAGCCCC